TTTTTTTTTTTTTTGGCCTTACTGTGCTCAGAAAGACTTCTAGTCTATAGCTGAATAGAATGGTTAAAATGGGCTTTGTCTTTTTCCTGATTTCAAAGGAAAACTTCTGATATTTCAACATTAAGTACGGTATTTGCTGAGGACTTTCTATTCCATGCTTTACCACAGGGGTCAGCAAACTATGTCCTATGGGCCAAAGCAGGCCTGCTACCTATTTTTGTATAGTCTGAGAGCTAAGAATGGTTTTTAAATTTCTAAATGGTTGGAAAAAAAAATTAAAAGACTAAAATTTTGAAACACGAGAAAATTATTTGAAATTCAACTTCAAATGTTGGTAAATAAAATTTTATGGAAACACAGGCATATTCATTTGTTTACTATTGTCTATGGCTCATGTATTGTCTCTGTATCACACTACAGAGGCAGAGTTGAGATGTTATAAAGGAGATGGTACATTCACATCACTTTGCACTGCTCAGCGTACTACAAAATCACAGTGACACAGTCATAACTTGACAGAATTTGAAGTGCTATGTTTATTATCATATGGTGACATTTTATTATTATTTTTATTACTGGTGTATACCCATCATGTTGAAACAAGAGGAAAAAGAGAAAAGTGGACTTCAAATGTTACATTTTTAAGGCACAGTGGAACATGGATTATACTGTTGCTGGATTAGATGGCAAAGCATTGTGTTTATTATGAAATGACATTATAGCTGTGCTAAATGAATACAAATATAAACTAACATTACCAGACTATGCACTTATCACAGTATTTCCAACTCACAGGAAAGTGATAGAAAAATTAGAAAATTTAAAACAGAAATATCTCATAACAGAATTTCTTCAAAAATTTAAAAATTAAAACAAGGTTGCAACAAAAGTAAGTTTCTGAGTGGCTCATTTGTTAGTCAAGCAAAGAAAGCTGTTTATTAATGATGAATTTACTAAATCATTTTGGATTGCAGCAGCTAAAGAAATGTGTCCAGCAAAAATAGACTTAAGACTAATTAACCTTTCAGCAAGAACAGTTGCTCCAAGAGTTGAGAGTATTGGGAACACCACCAATAATTAATTAAAATACAAGATAAATAATTTCAGGTGGTTTTTCTTGAATCTTAAATCAACAGATGTTACAGATACTACTCAGTTGTTTACTGAGGAGTCAATGCCAAGTTTAAAGTGACTGAAGAATTAGCTTCTGTGAATAATCTGGGCATGGAACTATAGGCGAGAATATTTTCAAAAACATTGAGAAAACACTAATTCAGTACAACCTAAACTGGAATCTACTAAGATGAATTATAACTAACTGATGGTGGTAAAAAATTATGCATGAAAAAAATGGCTTAAATAAATTTATGAAGATTGTGAAAATGTTAGGTTTTAAAGCCTGTGATTATTCACTGTATTTATTATATTCTTCAGCAGGTACTTTACAAAAAAAAAAATCTGACTCTCCCATGTGTTTTTGAACCAACAGCGTTAATGGCAAACTTCACTTGCTCTTGTGGATTTAACCACTGTCTGTTCTGTGAATTTCTGCCAGAAATAGAAGCTGAAAATCCTAACACAGGAGTTTAATGGTTTAGCAGTGGTAAAGTTTTATTGTGATATTTTTTATCTCAGAGCCAAGACTGAAATTTTTCTGAACCAGAACTGTGCTCGATCACTATTATTAAGCACTGAATGACTTTGGAAATTAGCTTTTACTATAGACTTGATACTGTTTCCTAATGAATTCAGCCTAAAATTATAAAGCAAAAGCAGCACTTATACGTGAAACTTACATTGTGGTAAAGTCATTTGTACAACAATTAATGCTGTTTGAACAATGATCAA